CTCATTCAGGAGACCGAATCCCACACCGAAGCGTCCCAGCTGGTTCACCGCATGATCCTCGAGGAGGTGCATTTTTGGAGTAATGCTGGCCTCAGGAAAGTGCTGCCTGTATGTGTGCATAAAATCCTTGATGCATGCATCTGTGTGTATGAGAAACAGTGAGGAATAAGAGTGACAAACAGCAGTGAATCCAATCGCATCGTTAATGCATAAAGGACGATTTCAACCCACCAATCATTTGCAGGTCAGCATGTGTGATGCGGTTGGTGTGGTTTATCCCATGGTGCACATCGCTGAACTTCAGGAGCACATCACTGAATTTGTTGCCGACCAGTGCTGCCTCACGTATCATCTCCTGATGTTTCTTTACGGGAATGTCATCACATGGGAGATTCTGAAGGACTTTACGAGGAGCAGAGGTCAGGTCAGCTATGACATTTGGCTGTATGGAACACACAAAAAAACAGGGAAGTAGCAGTCATATTCTAATTCTGCATAGTTCGTTTGATTCACTCCCAAAGTAACACAATGAATTCGTGTAATGATTGAGTTACCTGGCAGCATTTGTGGACATGGTTTCCGACAAACGACTTCCCATGATAGGCCTGGCGTTCTACCTTGTGGCGCTTCAAAACATCATCAAGGGAACCTGCGACAGGTCCAGATCCATGGGGAAGGTCAAGGACAACACTTTCCTGTATCAATTAACCAAAGGAAATTTAGTTATTATTTGCAACTGCCAAGTGCATGTGTTGTCAAGATTGTAAATGGAATCGGCTGCTCGCAATTACAAAGAAACTTTACCAAATCTTTGAGCTGTGCTCGTAGTGTGAAGGCACGATTTGCCATATTTTTGAAAACTTCGTCGGCATGCTGGAGATTGTTTTGGAGCAACTGAAGGGGAAGCTCATCCTCAATCTCCTCAAGCTCATCGTGCTTCTTAGCAATATCCTGCTTCAGATTCTCCTGTTTCAAGAACTCTGCAGTGACTTGTTGGTCGAAGTTGTTCTCACAATCTTCTGAGGGGTCAGCATGCTGCACGCGGAGTTTGAAGATTTTCAAGTCGATCCTGTGACACTCTGCTTCAAGCATGTCAAACAACTTCCTGAAGACCCCCAGGGATATATGCAGACTTGGAAGCACAACCTATGTATGAATAATACAAACCAATGAAATGCTTTTAAATGTGTTCGTTTTTATATGTGTACATGTACATGTAACTGTCTTTTTTTTTAATATTGACTTTAAAGACTTTCTAGCTCACGTGATCAATATCGACGGCAATCATATGCTTAGCAACGACACTGTGAGACACATCCTTGGCATGGCTTTTGCGAGAGCCGTCTGCTTTGTATGCCTGAAAGTCATCATCGAGGCTTGATAGTGTCCTGGGGGTTGCTAAATGCTCACGTTCATCTGGAGGAAGTTGCATTTGCTTGCGGGTTGTATGGCAAAACAAGCAGCAAAAACGAGCTGTTGGGGAAAATAGAGTAATGTTACTTGTACATGTACAGTATAAGACTAGCACATGTAAAAATGTGGTTCATAGACGCACAGGCATGCACTGGTACATGTATTTGCTACATGTACTTGGAATTGAAGCATTAACTTACCATTACAGCTGCAAATTCCATAGGTCTTCGTCAGCAGCTCGTAGTCCCCAAAAACGAACACTCGGAAAGACTTTCCTCTGTAACAAGTTATTAACAGAAGTTGAAAGTTGAAATTGTTATGAAAGATCTACAAGGACAAATGTACATGTAATGTACCAATGTATGCTCATGATATTACTGATAAGATATCAAAAACAATGACCGACCACGTACCTCCAATTCTGAGTTCTGAGGCTTGACACTTGATGAAGCACAGGCTTTATGTGTTGTAAGTTTGCCGTTGAATCTTGAGCCTCAAAACAGCAGAACACAACTGTGTTTTTGGATGAGTTGGGATGGACTGTGTTGACAATCTGGAAGGCAAATTTAAATGACTTGCCCCCCTTATCACCACCAACCTTTATCCAAATTTCATCATCTGGAATGATGCCATCATGCCAAGTAAGGGTTCCATTTCTAAATGGAAACAGGAAAAAAAAGATAGAAATATCACACTTCATGAAATTTAAGTCTGGTGCAGCTGTAACTTTTGATTTAAAAAAAAACACACCAAAACTTACAGTTCATGCCTATTCAGGTAGTCATCAATTATCCCATGCAGATCCTTGACATGCACATATGGAGCATCAAGTGTCTTCATGCCATCCATACCGTTTGCTTTATTTGATGGGAAAAGCATTGGTTGTAGGGACCCAATCAGGTTGTCACTAAGGAGAGCTGCTTGCCGCTTCCTCATGGCCCTCTCTGAAGTGAGGCAGTCAACACCTCCAACGTATCTGCATAAAATTGCATTTGAAAATTAAAACCATGGACTGGCATGCAAGTACAATGTACATGTATGTACATGTATATTTGTACATACATATGCATGAATATGGGTCATTTATTTGTTTTATTCAGAAAAATAATTACCGTCTTAACTTCCGAAGTTGTTCCCATGTAAGCTGACAGTCATGCATCATTGCCAGGCTTTGGTCAGGTCCCATGGCATCACAGACTGTAGTGTTGTTGCTGCAAGACTTTGCAGGGGGCGTGCACTTTGGTGGCCGCTTCATTTGCACATACGCAGGCTGAATGTGAGAAAGTATTTTGTAAAAAAATTAAAATATTGTTTTGCTCCCCATGTACATGAATATTTAAATTTCTGTAATGGAATTAAATTTTGTAATGAATGAAATTAATTATTTGAATTTGTATTTTTTATCAAATCATATATTATTAAACAGCAATGCGTGTCTCTCTCTCTCTCTCTCTATGTATATGTTCTGGGTAACACTGGCTAAATTTAATGGCTTCATTTAGATTTACATTCCTAATAATTCTGATATAGTGGTTTGATAAACTTTTGACTGATTATTTGTACTGTTTTAAACAGGAAAGGTTGGAATATTAACATGTACTCTATTTTCACTTTAATGTACATGTACATGTTTGTAATAATGTTTGTAATATTTTATTAATTAATAATATATCAGACATTTTATGTATATACTATTTTATAATAATATTTATTCAATAGTTGCAATCTAAACTGAAATACAAACCCTTCCTGGTGTCTTTAGCTGGGCAACTCTGTCAGTGTTTAGGAGCTTCAGCCATGTCCAAGCATCGGAAGCTGCTTCAATTTCCTTGGGTATGGGGGACCCTTTGGAATGGCTAGAAGCTTTGGTCCTTAAGACCTCTGCTGCTTTGATGACCTCTGTGTCCACTGTAGGCTCATTATTTTGGGGTCGGGGGGTCGGTGGGGATGAACATACGTCACAGTGGCAAATGGCTGGTTTTGGGGGCTTGGTTGGGCATGTGTGGGAACCCATTTTGTCCACTTTGCCAACACTTCCACACTTGGAGCATACTGTGAGTAGAACATCAAGTTGGAGTCGAAGGACTCTTGGGATTGGGGAAATTTGTTTGAAACTTGTCAATTTCCTACATACTGGACAGGGGACCTCAGCTCTGTTCTTGTAAGTAAACCACCCTGCCAAACAGTCGGCACAGAAATTGTGTTCGCAGGGAGTCTGCACTGACGGTGAACCCAAGACACACTGGCAGATGGGGCAAACAAAAATAGTTTCCTCGTCTTTACTTTTGCCAAGAATATCGATTAATGGCGTGATACATGTAGAGTTTTCATCCACATTGAAGGGATTAGGTGGCAATTCCGAGTCATGCTGAACTTCTGTGCTTAGTGGGCCTCTGTATATTTTAGTTTTAGAAGACCGACCCTTACTGTTCAGTGTCGTGCATACTTTACATCCCCCTACTCTTGGGTGCTTCTGCCAAGAAATGACTTCAATCCTGGTTGTGGAGGGTGGGTCTCTGTTTCCTGATGAAATGTACCTTAATGACCTTGCACATCTGTAGCAGACAGACTGAGGGTGTATCTCGGGCTCATCAGCCCACGTACTTAAATTGAAGGCAGTCAGAATTTCTTTTCTGTAGTTGCTGCACAACACAGGCTTAGTGTTACTCTTTACATTTCTTTGTGTAACAAGCCTACGGCCACAAATCCGGCATAATTTATCAAGAGAAGAACGATGAAATTCCATGTCTTGTAGAAAATAAACCAAGATTTAATTGGATGATAAAAACCTTTTTGTGTGTCCATCCTTCAGTTGTCCGATGCAGCGAACCATCCCCACTGTCCGTGCGTGCCGTGTGTGTGTACGTACGATACGGCGAAAATGTAAACATTCCCACAGATTCATATTTCCCGCGCCACACGTACATGTATATGGGCCGTACTTGCACACAATACGTGCGCTCATAATGCACGCATTTCAATGGGGAAACTCCGCACAACCTTCGCTGTTCGCGTAAAAATGACCGTGAAATCGACACTCAAATCTCAAAAGTTATACTTGCCCTCACCATTCTACTTGGAAAAATACTGCCAAGAGGGATATTTTAACCAAATTTTTGTGCCAGATGTTCGGGAAAATGATGATTATTTAGTAATTTGGCTTTTCAAAAAGAGTGTAAAAATCTCGGTGTAACGAAATTTCTGCCACGTACGGATTCACTTCAAACGTAATTTTATCATGTTTTTAAGCAAATTTACAATATTTTAAGTCTTGAAAATAAAACATCATCTACATCTGCAATAGTTATGGACACATCTTTCATTTATTCTGCAAGGGAGATAAATGGGAACAAATTTTATGGCGCTATCGGCAACGGATGTATACGCCTGTTCGCCACCATGTTTGTTTCTGGTGTTAGAATCTTTACTGGAGTAAACAATTTGTTAAACAAACGAACGCTACAAGTTTCTTTGCGTGCGTGCAGTGTACACGGAACGGCCGTGAGCTAAGCTCTCTTGGGCCCGGCCCGGGGACGTCAAAAATTCACTTGCAGCTTGGCCTACAGTGAGTGAACATCATAAGCAAGATGCGTGTCTCATGTGTGTTTTGTCGGGCCATCTTCAGGACCTGGAAGGATTTGGCCAGGCACACCGAGGAGGTCCATCGAGATCGAAGGAGGCAAGTCAGGTGCAGCATATGCCAATTTCAAACAACCAGTGAAGATGAGCTTCGCCGGCACTGCCGGCGAATGCACGAGTCTGACCGTCACGACCGTCGCCGAGTCATCAGGCCTTATGGAGGACGCAACAGATATACAGCCAGCAGGCGTCCAGACATGCCAGAAGAGAGAAGACCGGAAGGAAGTAGGCCTAGAGAAAACAGGAAGGAGTCGGAGAAGGAGACGAGGAAGGTGCAGACCCCCGAGCACCCGGCCCCCACCACAACGGCGCCGTCGACACCCCCACAACAGCTGGTGGATGAATCATTTCTAACCATTCATCCCTCCCCCAATGCCATGTCCCAACTCGATCTTGAGTCAGGGCCAACCCTGACCACAGCAGAGCTGATGTCACTAATGGGCAGCCTTTGCACGCCCAATCCCCCCTCAAGCATGTCGATAAGGAGCAGTCCAAAGAAAGTTCATTCTCCCCTTCCACCCGATCAGCCTGTCGATGTGCCGGCCACCCCTGCGTCGCCGATGAGAAAGTGGCTTGATGAAATAGACGAAACCATCAACCAGCTCTTGCCCCCACCACCCCCAGCGCCTGATGAGGAACCTGCCGACACCGCAGCTCCCGCCCCCACGCCGACCCCTCCTGTGGCGACGACCACCCGGCCCCCGACCCCGTCCCCCATCCCTGCAGCTGAGCCTGAAGCAAAAGAGCCCCACAGCCTGCCGGCGAACGACCCCCGTTTTGCCCGGAGTCGTCGGTCCGTCGCCCCCAGAACAACAGCAGGAGCCGAGGTAGAGAGGATGAGACAACAAGCGCGTACAGACCCCATGGCCATCAGAAGCAGGAAGGATGTTCTCCACCCCTTCGACTTCGGCGTGACTGTCCGAATGGTGACGGAGTCGGCTACCTTCCCAGACGGACGGGCATTCAGCACCAGCTACACGGAGTACAACCTGCCGTCCATGCCAACAGCCGGCCCAAGGCTTTGGACAACGCAGGAGGAGCACGAGCCATAGGCGTAAATGTATGTACATGTAGGCCATAATGATAATTAAATATATATTATTTCCTAGTGTTGCTGATTAGAGCTGAATTGAATTTTATTGTTGATGTTTTCCTACGTAGCCCAAGGTAAAAGTAGGCCCCTATTTTAGAAATAAAATAAGACAAATTAGCTTGAAATTTTTCTAAAACACCTGCTTCAGAACTTGTAATTTAATAATTCCTTGAATCTTTGAAACCTGAAGCTTCATTGCATACTTGTTGTATTTCCAAAATTTCTAGGGAAGTGCACAAAAAATTGTGTCATGGTCGACTATATATTAATTTAATTAGCCCAATTGACTCCATTAATTTCTGCAGGCTGCATTAATAAAATTATAGTGCATTAGGCCTAATTATTGCTAGCAAGCACGTACTTCATTAATAACACTGCCCTGGATGAAGTCTGAAATTAATACATTGTATGCTTTTCTATGTACGCGCAGCCCGCACACCTGTGGAATAGGACAAAAATTGACTTCTCGAATTTAGCGCCTTTTCCAATTACCCATAATGCATTGGTAAACTTTGTTTATGTTAGAAACAAGATGGCGGACTGGTTGTGCGTACATGCGAGGTTTCTATTTCAACTGTGTTAAAACTGTTATGCTAGATTGTGACCCTTTCCCAAGCAGCAACTTATTGATTCATGGTTTTGGCTAAGGATTAAGGTAAAGTAGATATAAGGCTATTCGTTTTATCAAATTTGTTTGACGGTGACCACGTTTGAAGGTAATTTCATCGTAGGAAAAATTGTCATGCTGAGTCTGTGTGCAACTGTCACTGTGTGTTTTGCACCGTACACACGACACGTATATAATTCAGGCATGCATATTTTAGTTAAGTTTCGAGATACTGGACTTTAATAGCCCTACTTGAATTGTGTGAATGTAAAATGATATTAGCTTCGACTAAGTCTTGAGCGGGCAGGTTTTTTTTATTGATCAGCTGATTGCAAATATTACTAAATTGAAGTTTGATTAGAACAGAAGCTCTAATTTTGAGACATGCATTTTTCTTAGTTGTTGTTTGCGATATTGAAATGTTGACAATGGGTATTTATGCGTTGAATAATGTTTAGTGTTGCGGCCAAGAATACCCATGTCACTTTGTTAGTTTTCTGGAGTGCTTAAAATTTTCGATTTTTGTCTCTTAATAACTTATATCTCTTAATAACTTATATCTCTTGAGAGTGTGACAAAAATCGCTCTGCCTTTGTAAAATTTGTGGACACATTTTTATCAGTCAGGTTCACCGTAAGATTTTAAATGCTCCTGTCAGAAATTGCTCTTTTATTCAATACACATTTTTCCTAGCATTGTTTCACTTACCAATTGTTCACATGAATATAGGGCACATCCTTGATGAATGTAGAATTTCTAGAAAGCTTTAATTATCTTACAATGGTGCCTAATTTCCCTAAAGTTGTTATTTCTTACAGATTCTAGCGACAAGTGGTTTTACATAACGCAAGTGGTTAATGGCAGAAGTGTTTTTACAACAGGCATTGATTGTATATCGTACGTATAGGCTACTAATAAATAGGATTTGTACATTAAAACAAAGACTGTGCATTTTCAATAGCAAACGCTGATCAGTGCGAATGACTCATTTGCATATATGCTGCGCACGTTTACCCATTTGTAGCGCGCGCGCAGTTCGTGGCCTAGTTTTTCACTGCCAGAACTCTATAAAAGGCGAGCGCCACCAGCATTCGGGTGGCTCGGTTCGAACGAACGAGTCCCGCGTACTATAGGAAGAACAGCGGCTAGCAAGTGCCGTAGAGCAAGGCGCACAGCTGGTTAGTGCTGTGTCTGTAAGTCGGCAAAGAAGTGCCGTGAAGTTAACATCGTAACATCGTTAGTCAGCATTCAAGTGCTGTGAAGAATTTAGTCAGCGTTCAAATGCTGTGAAGAATTTAGTCAGCGTTCAACTGCTGTCAAGAATTTAGTCAGTGTTCAAGTGCTGTGAAGAATTTAGTCAGTGTTCAAGTGCTGTGAAGATTTAGTCAGCATCCAAATTTCAAGTGCTGTGATTGATGAATTTATTCAGCGTTAATCGACAGCGCACAACTAACAAGCCATTGCCTCCAAGCTAGCCGAATGCGCAAAGCAAATTCAGTACGCGAATAATTAATTCTGCAGACGTAGACCCGCACATGTATTTTTATAGCTGCGGCGTCTTGCTAAAAGCTGTTTTAAAAGCTGTTTCCGCGAGTGAATTTCTTGTTTGTTTAATGCATGCGCCTGCCTCGCATTTGTAGACTGAGTTTTAATAATACGCCTCTTCTGATTGACAACTGCGGAGTCTTCCTGCGGACTAGGAGCCTGGGCTGCCCCTACCCCTCCCCTCCCTGAGTCCACAAATAGTTAGTTTAGACTGGTTCAGAGTTTCACCCCCTCCCCCTTCCAAATCCACGCCCCTTTCCTGTTCCACTGACTGCGCCCTCTGACGATCCACTCTGCATCATCCGTCCTCAAGCTGTGAGTATTACACGGTGGGTATATCATTCTCTGAACGGGCAGTGTAATTTTTATTCCTAGGAGGGTTAGGGGCAATGTCATGAATAATTCATGTTTATCCATGAGAACGGACAATGACATCAACAGCATTGTTGTTAGTTACTCAACTAGTTACAATACATTAAAGCATTTTAAAGAACGGTTGTCGTCGAGCTACCACACAGTAGCCTAGTAGATAGCGAGATGAGCTTATGGATACAAAGATCCCTGGTTCGAATCCACGTCTTCGCTGCTCATTTTCATTAGCTATTTTTCTTCTCCAAATTTATCACTGAGATAATTTTTAATTAAGGGGAAAATAGAACGAGAACCTAAGTCTTGCAATGATTCAAAGGAAAAACTGAATTATTTATGACATTGCCCCTAACCCTCCTAGGAAAAAAAATTACGCAAACGGGCACCCCCTCAACGCCCGTTACAATACGTATTCTTGATACCGCGTTACCGTGATAATTTATCACAGAAATCCTGAATTCAGAGATAATTCCTTCCTCGATACCGCCTTACCGCGATAACTCATCACAGAAATCAGGAATTCAAAGATAATTCCTTCCTTGATACCGCGATAATCATCACATAAATCAGGAATTCAAAGATAATTTCTTCCTCGTTACCGATTTGTCTTTGAATTCTGGATTTTTGTGATAAATTATCACAGTATATGGAAGCTTAAAGTGACCATCCGAGTTTCCAAGTTTCCGAGATAAGTTCCTGGAAAGATGGAATACTGAGATATTTTAGACGTCTTTCCCTGATACCGGATCTCGGAAAGAGTATTTCCCCGGTATTTATATCTCGGAAAGACGTCTTTCCCTGATATCGTATTTCGGAAAGACGTCTTTTCCTGATATCGTATCTCGGAAAAACGTCTTTTCCTGATATGGTATCTCGGAAAGACGTCTTTCACTGATATCGTATCTCGGAAAGACGTCTTTCCCTGATATTGTATCTCGGAAAGACGTCTTTCTCTTATTATCTTATCTCAGAAAGACGTCTTTCTCTCATTATCTTATTTCGGAAAGACGTCTTTCCCTGATATGGTATCTCGGAAAGATGCCTTTCCTTGATATCGTAACTATCTCGGAAAGACGTCTTTCCCTGATATAACATCTCGGAAAGACGTCTTTCTCTCATATCATCTCGGAAAGACGTCTTTCCTTGATATTGTATCCCGGAAAGGCGTCTTTCCCTGATATTGTATCTCGGAAAGACGTCTTTCTCTCATAACTTATCTCGGGAAAGACGTTTTCCCCTGATATTGTATCGCGCAAAGACGTCTTTCATCTCGGAAAGACGTTCTTTCTTTCATATCTTATCTTGGAAAGACATTTTTCCCTGGTATAACATCTAACTTCCCTGATATCGTATCTCGGAAAGATGTCTTTCACTGATTATATCTTGGAAAGAAGTCTTTATTTGATACACGTGGCCTATAGACCGCTTGCAGACGCGATCGATAATTGACGCGCGAAGGTGCACGACGCCATGTTATGGGACAAAATGTGCATGGATAGATATACGCCTGTCCCACAACATGGCGTCGCGCGCCTTCGCGCGTCGATTATCGAAGGCATCTGCAAGCGGTCTATTTGAAAGACGTACGTGCGTATATCGTCGCTTTGCTCACGAAGTGACAAAAACCTTCAAAATCGGCCAAACCGTCATTCTGAGATAATCGCGTTTTTGTATGATCAACTTTTAAAATCGTGTTTTCGCCCAATTTCCAATGACGAATTCGGATCATTTTTGCATTTCCGTGTATGGTATGCGTGGTTCTTTGTTGAGTAATAATAATTTGTGCGTTAATTGTTTTAATTAGAGAGTAATTAATTAACTAAACTTTTTTGCACTTCGTGGGAACAAAAAAACGTGAAGGTTTCACTTATTAGTCATTTTGTTTTGGTTTTTGTCACTTCGTGAAATCACATAAAGCAACAACGTCTTATTATTTTGACGCACGCGCTTAGTTTTTGTCACTTCGTGAGAAGACGATGGGAAACAGGACAGGGATTTTGCGCTCACATAGTGTAGTTTTATACACAAATGCAATTATTTTGTTTACATCTTGCAACGTTTTGCGTCTATTTTCCGCTTCAGTATATTTTATATCCAGATATACCTGTGATTTCCTCCCCAAGTCGCTGTCGTAAAATATAACGTACTGCATTGAACGAATCTCCTCAAATCTCAGTAATGATCTGACTTTTGTCAATATTCTGATACAGTTGTTTAAGCGAATCTTATAAAAAGAAATGGATTGGGCAACTAACTATTCTCTGTTTAGTTTCAATTCATTTAATTCAGTCAAATAAATGTTTAAAAACATTTTTCTTTTTAATTATATTAAACAAATTTACCATTATAGAATTACACATAGGCATATTGCCCAGCCCTTTGTGAAAATGGTACATACACTCAATGTTAATTACCCCCTTTTAATAACCATTATAAAA